ACACCTGGCCACTTCATGCGTTTTCTCAGATCGGATAGCTATCTGATTTATCAAAACGATTTCATTTACACATGGTCACATAAATGTGTTTTTGCAAAACGGATATAAATCCAATCTTCAATTCCCATGCTATATGCAGATTTAATGAAGTGCACATCACCGAAAGCGACAGATATGAGCGGCATTTTATTGATCATCGGCTAATTTCAAAATCAGGAAAGACAGCAATAAGAGAGAGCGGCAACAGATCATTTTGTTTCATTACTTTTAATGAAGATGGTAGTGTTAAGTGTCTGCGACTTAGCTTTCACTTTGATTTGCCATAGATTGCAGCATGTTGGCTTGATATGTGCTCAGCTGCTCATCTGAGATGATGCATGTCGCAGTAGCGTCGTCATATCTGTCTAAAATAATATGACATATGGGGCTCTATCTTGCACCCGGCGCAAATGACTTTATACACAAAGGCATGTGTCATTCCTATTTTGCATGCGCGCAAAGCAGGATTTTTCCCTCAAAAGACGCACGTCGGTAAACTAGGAAATGAACTTGCGCTCCCTGGGTGGATCGGTGCAAAAAGGAGGCGTGTTTCAGCGCAAACATTCCCTGGTGCTATTTTACACTTCCAGAAAACAATTGCGCCACTGACCAGAAAAAAACTGGTCTAAAGTCAGTGGCGCGTTGCGCGTTGTTCATAATGCTATTTTAAGGGCGCATGCTTGGCCATAATGTAGCGGGTGCATAACGCGCATACACTTTGATTCTCTCATCAACACAGATGCAGCAGTTTTTATTTTTGCTAATCATACTTCATACATTATAACAAGGACAAATATTAACAAATGAGGGAAATCATAGGTTTACATGAAGATGAAAAAACCTTATTACCCATTTTTTAAGGCTAATAGGCTTCATGCCGTGCGTCACGTGACCAAACCGGAAAACGGGTCTCATCGCATCCGCTTGTCAGAGAAAGTGTTAACGGCCGTAAGAACTGACTACGATATCTATGGATATTTAAGGTAATCAGCTAACCTAACTAGTTCACTTTGTTATTGGCGTTTTATTCCATTTAAATATCTAAACGTTGCTGTGAAGAATAAAAAATATAAAACGTTTAAATATCAATCTGCACATGTGAGGGATATTGTTTATGCTAATCTTTGCTCGCTCCTTTTAAGTTATCTTGAGTAAAACCGCAAAAAAATTCATGAAGCACATACAAAAGACCTGGACCGGAAGCGATGCGACCTGTTTTACAGAGAATGCGGAAGTAAGTTGTGCATAAAGCCTATTGTACTCGTAGGCTACTAAAGGATAAGACCTGTTTGCCCAATAGTGTTAAGAAACATACGTATATAATGTTTAACCGACGCTGATGTGTGAGGGTTTCTCCCATCCCCATACAACATCACTTCTCTGTCTTTCACTGCCCTGACAAGAACGTCTGTCTCATCGGCTGTGAACGCTCCTGGCGCCTGCCTGGTAAACCCGCCGTTATAATAACAAACCGGCATGCAACATGCGCACCTGTTCTTAAAGGGTGTTGGATGGCGCTCTGATTGGTTTATTTCACGTTACGCCCAAACCACACCTATGAATAATGAAGCTACTTCAGACCAACCCCTTTTAGATTTGCGCCAGACGCAAGAGGCATTTATCCCGCCGGGAAAATAGCAACAGCGCCGGGATCCGCCCACAAAGTTACTTGCGCCTTGCGCTTTGAAACTTGCGTTTCAGATCGTTAAAATAGGGCCCATAGCCTATAACATGCTCTCACACTTTTATTTTTTTAGCATTTTTGGAAGTATATGTTGAAATATGTGGTTTCAACAACCAGATGCATTTACACTTGTCGAGTTTCGTCTGGAATGCGGCCCAGACCACCTCCTGAAGTGGTTTGAGCGTTCGGATTCAAATCCGTCTCGAATGCGTTTCGGAGGGCATTTACACCTGGTCTTTTCACGATCGGATAGCTATCCGATCACAGAAAACGCATGAAGTGGCCAGGTGTAAACTAGTGTTAATTTCGTTAACGAAAACTAAACGAAAATATTTTCGTCAACGCACATTTTTCACCGAACGAAAACTAGACGAGACGAGACTAAAATCCCCACTAATAAACAATAACTGGGAGTAAATCAGAAATAATTTTCGTAGACTAATAAAGACGAGACGAAAATGCAGTTCGGTAAATAAAGACTGGGCTAAAATCTATGGACATTTTAGTTCACGAACAAAGACGAGACGAAAATTACATATTATTATATGATATGGTTTTGTCAAATACTGTCTCCTCCTCTGCCTCCTCCTCGTCAGCTCTTCCGCCACACACCCACCCACTTTCAAACCTGGAGCGGGCGGGCACAGTCAGTCAGAGTAGCCTACACAACACATGGAGCAGACAGGAGCTGGATTCACGGTGAGGCGGCGGCGACAGGTTAAAAGTAAACATGCTTTGCACGGGGCTCGGGAGAAAGAAGAGACGTGATATATGGACACATTTTGTTACAATGATAAACTAACTAATGATGGCTAACTTTCATAGCATTTAGTATCCAGGCTGGCTATGTTACGTTAGCTTCTGAGCACGTAGCGACCGTAGCCGCTTGTTGATAGAATTGTATGTGAAGTTCAATTTATGCTAACTTAGATATGTTATACTGGCCGGGCAACTATAGTTTCAGTTAAATTTGATTAAAGCAGACAGACGCTTTAAAAAGATTTCATACGTTCTAGCAAGCTATGCCTTGTTTCACCTTAAATACTGTACCTTTATATACCATGTGAACTAGCTGGCAGGAAAGCACTTTTGTTGTAACAGTTGGAGTTTTTTCACAACATTGACCTCAAATCTATTTATTTTTTTATTCTATGTGAACTAGCTTTAAACAGCCAGCACTTGTGTTAAGTTCATAATACACTTTATTTTATTTATTTGTTTCCTTTGTCAGGTGTATTTTATTTGTTTTAATGCAAGCATTTGTGTTTGTGTCTTTGAACCTTAACAATGTTCAAAATAAATATGAAAATATTGTCAGTACATCTTCCATGTCTGCATGTGTTCCTTAAAATTGTGTTTTTTATCAAAAAGATGAGAGAAAATGTTGAAATGTGAAATAATTTTAGGAAATGTTTAATATTATCTGCTGACAACAAAGTAAAAGGTTAAAATGATGTCCTGACTAAAACTAGACTAAAATGTTGACAGTTTTTTTTGACTAAAACTAAACGAATAAAATTATGTTTTCTTGGACTAAAATAAAGACTAAAATGCTCGACTTATAGTCGACTAAAACTAGACTAAATAAAAATGGGATGATGTCGACTAAATGTGATAAAAACTAACAAGCGATGCTGAAACTGGACTAAAACTGAAACTAAATTTAAAAATGGCTGGTAAAATTAACACTAGTGTAAACAGCCCCTCTGTGATGAGTCTGCCTGAAAATGTGTTTCGAGATCGGCCAAAATGTCCGGGATTCGGCTTTTGCGTTCAACAGTCACCATTGATTATGTTTACTGTGGCGAGCAGGACTAGTAAGGGCCGTGGGAGAACGACGCGAGGCTGGTGGCATGATTACCGATGAGCGACACCATAGACTGTAAAAAAAGATGGACGACGCCCCTTCGCTCTTTTCCATCAGAGAGAACTGAAGCCGCCAGTGTCTCCATATGACGCTGACATCTTGGAACTTGAGTCTGCGCACTTGCGTGTTTCGGGACCAGTCATGTGCAGTCGTGAGCAGGAAGTAAAGCAGCGAAATCAAGGCCGCGCCCTCATTCTCGCTGAATCACACGCAAGCACACGCCCCGCACTTTCATCAACCGATCACTTGTTTAGCTTTCATGTAAACAATACATTCAGATTCACAAATGGAATGAATTCAGTTAGATTGAAACAAAAGGTGTGCATGTAAACAATGAATGGCGACTGCAGAAAGCAAAAGCTAAATCCCGGACATCGAAGGCCGGACATGTCCGGGAAAAAGAGGATAGTAACCCCTACTACTCAGCTTTCTCCACAGAACAAGAGCCTGGTAGCTTAGCCTCTAAAAAAAAGATGGCTGACACAATGTGTACATTCTGTGAGTGAGATCCCACCCTCTTTGGGCGGGTTGAAAACAAGCGGGAAAGACCCTACTACTGACTGTAGTCTTTAGCCTCTGGCCAAAAAATCCTTTTTTCCAGACAAAAAATACATATATCTCTCGTCTCAGGGGAATATGAGGGTGGAAAGCATAGTAATTTGAAAATACTACAGGTTTTCTAACTACAAAGCTTAATGCTAAATCCTGAAGTATCCCTTTAATCAGAGTTTCTTAGTTAATAGCAGTAATTAGAATGTTAATATTGTGTTACTCATTTGTTCTTGTGTAGTTATTCAATAATGACAAAATAATAAACTGAATGTCTATTTCTAAGTGGACCATCGCACTAAAATTCGATACCACGTTTTTTTTTTTTTTTTTACAGTAAATTTAAATTCTATCCGTAATACCAAAAATGTTGCTTGCATTTTTTTTTTTTTTTTCAGTAAATTTCTGGCAACCACAGCTGCTGATCGGAGATTGCCTAAGAAATGATGTAACTAACTACTGATGTAGGAATCATACACTTTTCAAACCCATTTTTGTCAAAATTTCATTTGAATATTGACTGAGACATATCCCTCATCATGATCTCCAAATGTCTGGTGAAAAAAGTTCAGCAGTAGCCTTTTCAAATTTCCAATGCACAGTCCATACATAAAATCATTACATGTCCAAAGCTCAAAAACTCTAGACAGACCAAATAAAATAACACTCAAAATAAATCCAGAATCATATGCAAGACAGATATGCCTAATATTTCAACAAATATGTGCATGTGGTCAAAAGGACACCATTCTCCACGACAACTCTAATAACTATGGGTTGCCTACCTAAATACTCATCACCTCAAAGGAATTGTTCTAAGGTCTTTTTGTGGATTGGGTTTCTGACTCGTTCAGTACTGACCTGCCATCAACAGGACGTTCTGGTAATTACAGAAAGTAATCAGTTGGACTGTAGTAGAGCTTCTTAAAGACCTCCTGTCTGGTGAAGTTGCGCAGGGTCCAGGCCTGAAGGGGACTATCATCACAGTACTCCACGGTTGGGCCGTACGTTCCATCCTCCAGCCGACTGATGGTTAGACACGACTGGGTGATGATGTGGAGGAAGGTGCGTTTCTGATGGTTCCCATGTAACATGACAATAAACCAGGTTTGGGTACTGGTGAAAAAGAGCTCAAAACATGGCCCAGTCTCTTAAAATTTAAATGACTGTTAATACTAAATAAAATGATGCACTGCTAATTGCATATAACTTTTATTGAATTGCAATTAAGTAGTACACTTTTGCTGATAATTTACTCACCCCCATGTCATCCAAGATGTCCATGTCATTCTTTCTTCAGTCGAAAAGAAATTAAGGTTTTTGATGAAAACATTCCAGGATTTTTCTCCATATAATGGACTGGGTACCAAACGGTTCAAGGTCGATGAATAAGGGTCTTATCAAGCGAAGCGATCACTCATTTAAAGGTGCTCTATGCGATTTTTAGCGGCCTCTAGTGGTGATGTTTCAGAATGCAACAAGAGTGCTAGTGCTCGTGCTCGTGTGCGTGCTAGATCTCAAGAGCGAGCAGTCACTACCGGCAACACGGAGACTTTCAACGCAACGGCGAAATAATCACATAACATGCTGGAAACTAATGTAAACTTCCACTGCAGGTACAATAATAGTCTACTTTTATCATCTTGACGTTGAACTAATGCTCTGTGCTCGTACCATGATCATAATGTTACAATAAACTCCATTTAGCCGACATGTGATGTTATAAGCCATTTCACTAACTATTTTCGTGTATCTTTCACAATCAGCAATGCCAACATAGGTGAATGTATAATATACACTGTAAAAAATTTGGAGTAGGATTTACTTGAAAAAACCTTGCTAAACGATCTCACTCAGAAAATGCTAGTAAATTTACAAAGATTTGCCAAGTAAAAACCTAAACATATTTATCAGTAGCTTTAATTAGAAATCTTTAAGTTAAATGTACTTGGAATGTGGAATTAAGTAAACTTTACAAAAAATAAGTAATTTTAACTCGGCTTGTAAAAGGTTGATTAATACCGATTTCCTTTGCCTTTGCATTACACTTCACTAAAACAATTATCTTGAATTTTATTAGTCATTTATAGTATGTTCTTTACTTGGATCATCTAAGTAATTTATATATACATCATGTCAGACTTTAAGCCTTATGTGAATGCAAACACCTCAATACTTGATAGACAATACACAATGGTGGTAACATTTGATGGATCGTTTTTGTGTTTGAATGTGTCGTTTTAAGCAAAAAATTTACTCGAAATGTCACAAAATGGCAATTTACTAATACTGAAAACAAAAATCAATGATAAAACAGCTAGTGTAAATACAGCTGGAAACCAGTGAAAAATGAACCTCATTAATTATTCAAGGTCCAGTGCATGATGGGAACCCCAGTATTAGAAAAGTTGAGTAATTTTTACTTAATTTTATTGAGTTGATATTACACTTTCATTTATACTCGCTTGAAATAAGTACTGATATGGAATTTACTTCGGTTTTTAAATTCTTGCCTGAACTAACTTTTTCAAGTAAATTACATTGGGTTTTTTCACTAGTATTTACTTAACCAAAAAAATCATTTTTTACAGTGTATGATAACGAAAACGGTTAGTGAACTAAACTGAACAGTTTCATTGTATCAGTGAGATCGTAGGAAGTAACATTACTGTACTGAACGTGTCTGGAAATGTGTATTATAAACAATATGATAGTAGTGGGATGAGTGACGTTAGTCAGTAGATCTAGTAAATAAAATAAGTTACATCCTAAAGCACCGACTTTTTGTTATCCTGGAACATTCTTTTGCATTCATGTCATGTTTCATGTAGTTTACCTCGCTATTTCACTAGAGTTTACTATGTTGATCCACGTTTTCGTCCGGAGTCGATCAGATTCACGTTTTGCCTGACGAGCTTGGGCAGATAAAACTTTTTAGTTTTTTATATTTATGTGGAGTTTGTGTTGGAGTCCAGACTGATCTCATGAAGTAGCGTGTGTATGAGACGCCAATTCGTATTTCCATTTTTGGCGTGCTATCAAGACGCATAATCGCCTTTCAGCGTGTTTATGAACGCCGTTGACTTAACGTTATATAAATATATGACTTACCTCAACCCCATCCCTAAATCTAACCGTCACTGGGGTTAATGGCATTTATGACTGTTCCTTTACCATCCTAGGTAAAAAAAAGATATGACTTACCTCAACCCCATCCCTAAACTTAACCGTCACTGGGGTTAATGGCATTTATGACTGGAGATTTGACTGCGTGTTCAGACACGCGGAATGACGCGGACGTTAGTGGCGTAGACACATACACGCGGATACACGCGGATAGCACAAAATGCGTGCAGATAACACGCCACCTGACTCGAAAGTGGCGTATATGTTTACGCAAAAGTCATGATGTCATGTTTTGGAGTCTGTGTTGTACTGGAGGCAAGACGTTTTGGGCTGTTATCAGACTCCATGTCGCCAGCTGAAGTGCCGTTGGTCGCATGGTTGATATTATAGAGACTGGATAGAGACATGGTTGACTGGAAGGATAGAGAGGCTCGGGAGCGCGCATGCACGTCACATCTGATGCATTTCGCAGGAAATCCGACCCGGAGACCTTTCTTATAAATATGAATATTGGCCTTCAGAGGTAATAGCAAAACGCGAAAAGTGGATCATTGCAATGTGTGATTACAACCCCTTCAAACACAGGCAATAAAAAAAGGATTAATTTTATAAAAAAAAGTTGCATATAGAACCTTTAAGAAAATAATTAACAAAGTTTATGTTTTATAAGCTCAAATGCTCACCTTGCTCTGTTCTGTGTGACTCTCCTGTTCAAACTCATTCATCAAAATGAACAAATCTTTTTTCGAGTCAATTCGTTAAAGCCAAATGACTAACAATAAGCCAAATGACTCGAAAAAAGATTTGTTCATTTTGATGAACGAGCTCGAACAGGAGAGTAATGAACGTGCGTAACAGAACAGAGCAAGGCGAGCATTTGAGCTTATAAAACTTAAACTTTGTTATTTATCTTTTAAATGACCGATCGTTTCGCGTGATAAGACCCTTATTCGTCGTCTGGAATCGTTTATAGCCCTTTGAACAGTTTGCACTGAAACTGTCTTTTGGACCTTGAACCGTTTGGTACCCAGTAAAGTCCATTATATGGAGAAAAATCCTGGAATGGTTTCATCAAAAACCTTAATTTCTTTTCGACTGAAGAAAGAATGACATGGACATCTTGGATGACATGGGGGTGAGTAAATTATCAGCAAAAGGTTTCGTAAAAAAAGTGAACTACTCCTTTAACATGCAATTAAGCTTCAGAAAAGGAAATAAAAAGAGACTGTGACCACAAATGATATTCTACTATTTTTATCATAATAATAATAATATAATAATAATAAATAATTAAAAATGTGAATGAATTTCAGAATGTATTTGCTTTAATGACAGCGGTACTTGAACTGACATGGACAAAACATCACATTTGAATGTTTTAAAGAGACACACAGAGACGTTCTAAACAAGGGCACACACTAATAGGAGTCATGGAAAAGGTCAGATGTTGAAATGTAAATGTAGGGCTGGAAAGTCAGGAAATAAGTGTGGGTGTATAGATTGTATTTGCTGTTGTCTCGTAATGACAGCAATCAACTGTAATGGGGCTGACTTAGCAATGCTGAGTTAATGGCTCTTTTTCTTCTAAAACAGGTGTTTTTAATAGCTAATTGGAAACAGTGCCAAAAACTGAGAACATGAGATCTCAGTAAACCAAAATCATCATTTTTCCACATGCAGTGAGAAAAACCTGAGAGCTATTTTTAAAGCAGATGTCTGTCTCTCTGGTTGCCAAGTATCGAGTAGTCTATGGATAAAATTGGAAACTGAATCACAATTTAATGGTGGCGAATTCTAGGATGTGAAATGATGTCAAGATCATCTTTCTTTATGATTCGATCATTTATAGGACTAAAGTCCTGCAGCACAAGTCTCCAGGAGTTGGAACAAATACAATGCCCTGCATTAGAGGCAATTTAGAGGTAAAAACTAAACACTGGATTCATGTCTGTGTCCAACATTAAAACCAAAGCCACCGAGGGTATGGAGATCTATTTTTAAATGCTTCTGATTTCTTGCGCCCCTTTGAGATTCGGCACCAATGTCCCTTGCGACTCAAGTGTGATGTTTTCTTTTTAATTAAATGACTCATTTATTTTGATATATAAGCACCACAATCGACCTAGCTGACAAAGAAGTGTCTGTTATATTAACAGAAGATCAAAGATCTCCATCTTTTTCTTTATTCAGTTGTGGCGTCTGTAAAATGTGTTTCTTGATATCTTGAGAATGTTGTAATGAATCTCAGATATTGATTTTGTAATATTCACTGAAAATCAATGCCCACGGAGGCTAAGAGGAGATGTTATACGGCAGTATAGTAAACAAATATATTCCTCTATGTCATCACTCTAAACCGGCTTACAAGTCTGTATATGAATCTATGCAAGTGTGTTTCTAAACCATTCACAATGTCACTCAAATACAGTTGGAGTCTAGTTCACAAACATCACCACCAGAATACTGAAACATCACGCAGCAAAACACAATTCAGATTATCTTACCTTAAAGTCATACTCCCATTTGCCAACATACTAAGACATGCACACAAATAATAGTTTCAATAAGCTTTCAATAATTGTCAGGGCCAGCAAGTGTACACCATCTCAAATACACAGTTCTGCTCCAGACAAGGAAAAAACATGACATACTACAAAAATAAAGGAGCGCACAAGGTGGATAATAATATGATATGCAGCACCATCTGGTGGTTAAAAGCTTTTCAACTAGTTGAAGGTCTGATGTGATATCGTTGTGGACAGCAGGGCAATGACAATGTTTAATATGGAAAAATGACTAAACATTTTCATTTATATATATTTTTTCTTTCCATAAATATGTGAGCGTGTGAACGACGAATGTGTCATATGAATAATTAATACATTGCAAGCTCGAATATGCAGAAGCGAGAATGAGATTTTTGAGCTATAGCAGAAGGAAGAAGAAAAGTTATATTTAAATCAAATTAAAGATGACAATTTTCATTTTTGGATGAGCATTCCTTCTGTATGATCTTTGTGAGGCTCAAACTTACAACTTGAGTCCTGGGACTCTTCCACTGCATCACACCAATAGATTTATCATTTATGCCACGTAGCAATTTTCACTTGATTGCACTGCAAGTATCACAAGATTATTATGGAGGCAGCTGCAGCTTTACTCGCAAACTACATTTCCAGTTCTACATAAATAAAGTTCACCAAATGTGAGAACCAGACCTGTTATAATCCTAAATTTAATGCTGTGATTAAATTAATTGAAAAGTGTACTGTCGTGTCAAAGTAGTAATAGAAGGTGTTTGCTGTCGTAATGATGACAGCAGAGCTGCAGGGCACAAAAGAGTAGTAAACGTTCAGTTCTCCAACACGGTTGGCAATCACACTACATGCGTTCCGCACCCGAGCCCGACTGAACAGTGCTCTGGCCCACCTCTTCCAAGCGGGACAGGGACGGTTAGGTGAACCACACCCCGGCACGGTATGGAGCGATCACTAGCCAAAGGAACCAAACTTTGGGGTCAAACGAGCTTGGTCATGGTTTAGATGTCCTAGTGTGAGTATAGTCAGTATAAACCAAATGTGGTTTACTGTTAACTATACACTATACCTTATATAATATTATTCTATTTTTTAAGTATTTGTTCCATTGACTTCAGTGTGTGCAAGAGTGATGTGGTTGTTGTGTGAGGTATATTCGGTGTAATATGTACCTCTGCATCGTATTCAAACATCTGGTTTCCTTTCATGTGGTGGCACTTCAGCATAACAACAGGTCCATTAAGCCGCGATGCATCCAGACACAGGTCATCAGTACGGATCTCTTTATCAGCAGTATATGAGAACACCTGTAAACAGGTTGATCAACTGGGAATTAATTGTGTTAATAATAATGAAATTCCTTACTTTTTATGCATTTATTCCTTTACGATTTTACTTGTGATTCTTATTTAATTGTGTTCTGCCAAACAGTGGGCTTTCAAGTTAAAAAGATGCAAAAGTACAGTACCATAAAAGTATCTTAATTTAAGTTGTTATTCACTAAAATCTTGACATCTTGCCTAGCTGTCCATTCAATGTTCATGAGACAGAGACAGACAGCGAGAGAGACCTAGCGATGTGGCCATTAAGTTGTTGCCATGTCGTGCCGTTTTTGTGTTGGTTCCTAACGATCTGCTTGATTAGCTTCATTTTCAAAATCCAACTCAGGCTCCAACTGTTACGGTAAAACCAATGGGCTATATGCACGCATAAGTTCCGCATTTGACGCAAGGATGCTCGTCCATTTCCGTTTGTGTAGATTAAAGCGGAGGAGAACCGAGGAAAACGGGATTATGGCAGAGTCTTCAAAATTTACTGTCCTCCCGTCTTTGAAACGAAACGTACATACGTTTAGATGTAATTTTATATATAGTTATGTTTATTTAATATAATTTTAAAAAGAAGCATAAACACAACGAGGGGTGTCTGTTTTATCTGTTTTGGTGACTAACGTTTCTTTATTATAACCATGGACTATAAAATTCAATATAAATTCTCGGTATTGCATTGGACTCTATACGATCGGAAGTCATCGAGCATCCTTAATCCTTCACCGGAAATACCGCCGTGCATAGAGCCCATAACATTGTTAACCGTTTGCTTTAGAAGCCTTGGAAGCTTCGAAACTCGCGAAACTCGGTAAGAGGATTACATTTCTGACACACACTTGAGGTGTTTGGCCAATCATAGCACACTGGGCCAGCTGGTCAATCAGAACACTCTGAGCTTTTCGGAAGAAGGGGCTTAGTAGAAACCAGAACTCTCGTTATTCTCTCACATACTGTTGTTTTTTAAACATTAAAGCATGTTAACTATTCTAGTACACCCAATAAATGAATGAATGACCTTTTAAAATAGCATCAAACGGCCTCTTTAAATGTCAGTCTGTTTGTCTTACAAAGCTATTCTATTACTTCAGAAGATTGACTTTAATCATACTTTCGTTGTGCATTCTTTGATGGCCTCAATCCCTGTGCATTGTAATTGCATAAAAAAGAGCAACCAGCATATTATTCTAAAATTAAGTGTATCCTTATTGTTTCTTTCAGTATCCAAATGTTCAGCTTTGAGATGATATGGCAAAATGAATGTTAATGTTGGCAAAATGACCTGTGCGTGAACATGACCACAGCGCATGATGTAGTCAGCCAGATCTGGGCCAAAATTTAAAAAGCAAACATAAGTTCACAACACAACGAAATTAAGCCACAACACATCGGAAATGCTCCCAACCACTAGAGGGCTCTCAGAGCGTGGTAGGCCGAAATTCCTTACTTTTTATGCATTTATTCCTTACTTTATATGCATGTCTACACACGATGGGGTTATTACAGGCATACCAGAGTGACCTCCCCAAAGAGGTGGATGATAACTGGGAAGTCTCACTCGACGGTATTACTGAATTTGTGTCGTGACGTAACATGTGACGGCATAACCGAATGCATAAAAGTGACGCTGACACACACACACACACACATCAGCCTCGCGATGAAGCAAGAGGCTCTAAGGCCTCGAGGGGTGTGGCAGGACGATGCAGTGTCTCATTCCCTTCTCGGGGAACAAGGGTTATAGTCATAACTCGAGATGTTCCCTTTCAAGGGGACTCAACACTGTGTCGCTGAAAACGACTCATTGGGGAACGAATGCCCACTAGGCCATGCACTGAAAAGGCCTGCCTCGGAGTGAAACTGATTCAGGCACTCAGCTAGGACGAGAGCACATGTGCGCCAGGCATACTAGGGAGGTGCAGACTATAGAACCTAATAGGGTAGCCCAACCGGCTGCCTCACAGATCTCCTGGATTGGTATTCCGGGAAAGGAGGGCCCTAGAAGATACCATGCCTCTAGTAGAATGAGCCCTTATGGTCAAAAGTTAAGGCAAATTGTGCACCTTGTAAGCCAACGTAATAGCCTGAACAATCCAATTGCTAATGGTTTGCTTGGATGCCGGGAGCCCCTTCTTAGGCGACCCAAAACACACTAATAATTGGTCCGACCTCCTCCAAGAAAAGGACCTCTCGAGGTACACGCTCAAAGCTCTGACGGGGCAGAGCAAATAAACCTTCTCTTCTTCTGCCGACACATGAGGTGGAGGATAGAATGCCTGAAGGACTGTGGACAGAGCCGTATTAGTAGGAACCTTTGGCATGTAGCCCAGACTCGGATGCAAAAAGGCTTTAACTCTGCCACGGGAAAACTCCAAGCAAGCTGGTGTCACAGCCAGGGCTTGGAGATCTCTCATCCTCTTAAGAGAGGTAATAGCTGAGAGAAATACCATTTTTAGCGTAAGATCCCTAGGCGAAGCCGACTGGCTGTCGGTCTCATCCTCCAAGTACCACTTAGAAAATGTATGACCAACTGGTGCCTCCCCAGAGGCCCATCACTTAATGGCGCGTGGAAAGCCACAATGGCAGCCACATACACCATAAGCATGGAAGGGGAGCGACCCGCAGAGAAACAATCTTGAAGAAACTCTAGGCTGAAGCCACCGGGGGGTTAACTGGATCTGACTCATGTTCTCTACACCAAGTGACGAACACATTCCACTTGAGGCCAAATAATCTCCTAGTAGACGCAGCCCTAGAGCTAAATATGGTTTCAACCACCCCGGCTGATAGACCAGCATTTAGGTACTGAACCCCCTCAAAGGCCAGCCCTTTGCTGAGACAACAGATGCCTCCTCAGAGGAATCTGCCATGGCAGAGCTATCAGGAGTGAAATTATAATCTGAAGAATGAGAATTAGCCAGTCGTCGATATAATTCAGTATGCGGATGCCCTGAAGTCTCAGTGGAGCAAGTGCTGCATCCATACATTTGGTGAATTTGCAGGGAGAAAGTGCTAGGCCAAACGGAAGAACCCGATATTGGTAAGCTTCACCCCCGAAAGTGAACCTCATGAACCTCCTGTGACATGAATGATTGGATACATGAAAATAGTAAGCATTGTAATAGTAAGCGTGGAATAGTAAGAATAGTTGAAAATAGTAAGCGTGGAATAGTAAGCATTTTGAACCTGAACCTCCTCAGAGCCCGGTTCAAAACTCTGAGATCTAGAATCGACCTCAACCCCCCATCCTTCTTTGGAACTATAAAGTACCGGCTGTAAAACCCAGACTCCCTGTCTGAATGAGGAACACGTTCTCTGGTCTCCTTTAACAGCAGAGATTGCACTTCTTGTTCCATCACCTGAGCCTGCTCTGGAACCACTGTAGTCTGCACCAGCCCAGAAAATTTGGGGGGCGGTGCGCAAACTGCAGTCTGTACCCTGATTTTATTATATGCAGGACCCATGCAGATATGTTGGGAAGATGATACCATGCCTCAACAAAATCTACTCAGGGAACCAATCTCTCGAGACTGGCCTCTGGTGTTTTTCAAGCACCCTTCTCGACCCCCTGAAGCGGAAGACTGGCAGGCTGTAGTGGATACGGTTTTCATGACAATAACTGATGCTCATCTTTTTGAGAAAAACGACGCAGAGTGCATTGGCTGGAAAATGATGTGGCCTGAAGCGTCACCAACGGTGGGCAACCCAGATCGTTTCCTTGAGGGCTCCGCTGCGAGAATAACATCGATTGCTATGCAGTGGTCAGAGGTCCCACCACCCTGGCTAGGACCCCTTTCCCGAAGCCCTCCTAGCCTGAAGGACGTCCCTCAGGTTGCCCCTTTGGCTGGAGGTCTTCTGCTGGGAGCGTTTCCTCTGTTGCCAAGCTCCTGGAGGAGGGGCTCTAGAGGAAACCCTCTCCCTTTGCTCCGCGTGGTGCGATGAGCTGTCTGATGGCTGCGGCTGATCTCCTTGCCTCACCCTACTCGATTTAGACCCTGCAGATTGCTTATTCACCTCCTGAAACCTGTCAACGACCGATGTAACGGCGTCGCCGAACAGGCCAGAAGGTGAGTGCGGCGCTTCAAGCAGAAAGGATTTGTCTTTTTCTTTTATTCCTGACAAATTCAGCCACAGATGCCTCTCCATGGCCTCCATAGCTGAGATTGAGATTGAACCCCACAATCTCAATCACCGCGCCACCTCAACGGATGCGGGATCAGAGCCGTAGGGAACGCGAGCCTGACCATGCTCGTCAAAGCACGCCAGCCGGGAGCGCAGCACTCTCATAGGTAGTGCTTCACAGTCTCCACAGGCACCTCCCTCAAGAGCTGCCTGGGCGTGCTGCACTCCCGAATAGTTCACACACAGAACATGCGTGTCCCCACCCGTAATGAAACGAGGGCAGGGGTGCACACACTTCTTAAACTGTCCGCTGGCCAGAATGAACATGAATCAGACAAACAACACCAAATAAGACAGACAGTCGTAACATAGAATGCTTGCTGAAGAGCGAAAGCTGATGTGTATGCCGTCAAATGTTACGTCATGACGCAACACCAATCAGGATTAGACTAGTTTCATTCATACTTCAGAAGCACACGCTTAGGGAGCGTCCCCAAAGAGTCATTTTCAATGACGCAGTGTTGAGTTCCCTCGAAAGGGAACTAACTTTACCGTGCTTCAAGAGCCCTCTAGTGGTTGGGAACATTTCTGTTGTGTTGTGGCATTATTTCGTTGTGTTATGAACTTATGCCTTATGCTACCTGAATCATAATCATACACTGTTCATTTGTTGGCCAGAGGAGAACTGGCCTCCGACTGAGCCTGGGTTCTCCCAAGGTTTTTTTCTCCATTCTGTCACTTGATGGAGTTTCGGTTCCCTGCCACTGTCGCCTTTTTCAACTTTGTCGCCTTTATTCACCATTGTTTCACCATTGTTGGCATTGGCTTTTGACTTACTTAGTTGGGGACATTTAATTTAATATTCAACAATAATATTGATCTGCCTGCATTCACACCAATATATGAGAACTGAACTGAGCTGGACGATAACATCACGGTTTTCTCGGCTACATATATAAATTAACTAAATTAATAACTTTTTTACAACAAAATGAAACATCACTGAACTTACTTAAGCTGGACTGTGAAGCTATTTTCTTCTGGAAACAAGGTTTTTTGCATTATATTCTTGTTATCTTTGTTAAGCTGCTTTGAAACAATCTGTGTTGTAAAAAGCACTATATAAATAAATGTGATTTGACTTCACAGCTTTCTTACCTGGTTGCCGCCCATTCCATGGCAGTTGAAGAAGCCAACCTTTTCATTCTCTTTACGGCCCATGTTATCCACACACTGATTTGTCTCAACATTTCTGATCTATTAACAAGAGGACAATGTCTGAGGATTGAGCAATATTCTTTTATTTAAGAAATAATATTCTTTGCAATATTCTTTTAATTTAATTAAATTTAATGTAATTAATTAATACATTTTTATATTGCAGAGATTTCAGCATAACCACACACATAAGCCTGCACATTGAGTGCCATTTACTAACAGTTTACTCTAGCGCATACCCTCTTTTGGTGTTAAAAAATCTTCTGTCAGGATTTACAAAAGACATGCAGTGAAAAATTAAGGCGTGGACAAGTTAATTTTACGGCTGACCTTATTGCATATGCAATTGTAGGAGTTTCCCTTTCAGACGCAAAATTTGGAGAAGAGTATTTAAATTGATTATGAACGGTGATTTATTACGGTTTGCGGCAGTCAATATACTGGCATTTGCTTCATTATTTACCATCCACATTTTGCTCATTTGCCCTTGGCAAATTGCGTTGGTCATTATGGAAATGATCGGGCTGTGTCTGTGTACTTTAATTTACACGTCGTCAGTAGATAATGCTCAGAACTTTCCATTTCCTTCTGCGATTTTATGTGATTGTACTTTCATGCTAATTTGACCTGTTTTAATGACCATATTGACCAAGAAAGCAATGAAAGTCTCGTACCTCCCCGAGTGAGTAATATCTGCGTGGAATCTGAGAATCAGGGTAGATGTTCTCCAGGTACCATGAGAAGGGTTTACACTTCAGAGTTTCCCTCAAGGCCTTCCGAGATGAAACATCCCCATAATCCACCCGAACCACACCTGAAGAAACACAAATAATTAAAATCCATCAAATTAATCATATTTTCTCCTTTGAAATCAATGAAATCAATGAAATGACCCTCATTTAGAAGTCACTTGAGGTAAAATTGTCTGCTAAATGAACATGTAAATTACAGTTACAAACATGACACAGGGTAAATGAGGAAGACATATACAGATAATGAGTCTATAGCACCTGGAAAAACGTCTCTGGTTACGTATGTAACCCTAGTTCCCTGAAGGGAACGAGACGCTGCGTGTCTATGCCATACTCCCAGCATGCCCGTGAGCGCTTGCTTCAGTCCTATCAGAAGCTGTTGCGCTTGTGTTTCGGGGATGCTTTATAGTTTCCTGGTCGATACGTCACCCCGCCTATGACGTTCCGTCTCGCCATTGGACAGATTTCATACGTGCTTCATGACTCGTCACGCAGAGGCGTTCCCCACGGCGTTTACACGCAGCGTCTCGTTCCCTTCAGGGAACTAGGGTTACATACGTAACCAGAGACGTTCCCATTCAGGGAACTTCGAGCTGCGTGTAAACGCCGTGGGAACGCTAATACCAACGCCGCCATGCGAGCAGGTGTCCGTTGTATGAAATCAGGCACATATTTAGACGAAAGCACCGGCGCCCCTGGAGCGGAGCTACCATACCCCTGGTTGAGTGAGCCCAGACAGCCAAAGGAGAAGGCTGACCGGCGGACTCATATGCAAATGAGATGGCCTCGACCACTCACTTACTCAACCTCTGCTCAGATGCGGGACAACCTTTCTTCGGAGGTCCAAAACAAACAGATAACTGTTCAGGCTTTCTCCACAGGGCAGCTCTGTGGACATAAGCATCTAGAGCCCTCAGAGGGCAGAGCAGATTAGTTTCTCTTGGTCTGACCTCACAATACCACGAAGAAAAAGAATTACCAATGGGTATCTCCCGTGAAAAGCTCCACTCAAAGGGACGTGGTAAGCAGATAGGCCACCACATACACCTTTAGTGTGGAGTGGGATAACCCTGTGGAGAAATGCTCCAAAGGAATTCCAGCACCGCCACACCGGGCAGTTAACTGGGTCCAACTGGTGTTCTCCCCACCAAGAGGTGAAACATTGCCACCTCAAGGCATATAATCTCCTCGTGGACGGAGCTCTGGATTGGAGGATGGTCTCCACGACCTCAGTCGAGAGACCCGATTCTATGAGCTGGGCCCCCTCAGAGGCCAAGCCACAACCTCCATAGATCTGGGCGGGGGTGAAGTATCGACCCGCATCCATACTCGGGCCGGCCAACGCGGGGCTACTAACAGTAGAAAGACCCCGACTCGGTGAACCCTCTCCAGAACTCCTGGGAGCAGAGCAATCGGGGGAAATGCGTACAGGGGTGACCTCGGCCACTCCTGTACCATCGCATCCAACCCCAGAGGGGCTGGTGGATACAGAGAAACCACAGCATGCAGTGTCTCAGTCCCTGGATTCAAATAGGCCTACCTCGGTATGACCGAAATGACTCCATAGGAGCTCCACCACCTCGGGGTGGAGTCTCCACTCCCGGGCCTCGGCCCCTGCCTCGACAGGATGTCTGCTCCCCGATTTAAATATCCTGGGATATATAATCGCCAAAGAAGAAGCTTCCCCTGGGCCCACAGAAGGATCTGGCGCTAGCCTGAATAATGGACATGAGCGCAGACCCCTTGATGTCTATAAAAAGACCCCCGATGTGCTGTCTGACCGGACAAGAACATGGTGACCCCTCAGGTCTGGGAGAAAGTCCACAGACCCCGGGCTGAGCGACCACTCATGATCGCCCCAGCCCGTGAGGGAGGCGTATATCGTTAGCTTCTTTGGAACAATGAAGTAACGGCTGTAATACCCCAACTCTCTGTCGGGGGGAAGAACTCGTTCTATCGCCCCCTTCAGTAACAGAGCTTTCACCTCTTGTTCCATGACCAGAGCCTGCTCGGGGGATACCACTGTAGGCAAAATCCCCCGAAAACGAGGCGGACGTGACCTGAACTGGATCGCGTACCCGCGTTCGATAGTCTGCAGGACCCATCGAGATATATTTGGAAGACTTTCCCATTCTGCCAGAAATTCCACTAAGGGTACCAGTCTCTCGAGACTGGCCTCTGGAGTAATTATAGAGACAGAAACAGTGCCTGTGACCGCGCACAGGCAGGGTTTAACGGACTGTTCTGTATCGCTCCTCGGAGCAAACGAGCTTCCCTCGGGAAACCACTCGCTAGGACCGTCTGCGCCCACCCTCACAGGCAGGTTCAGCAGAACGGGTCCCTGCAGACCCCCCTGGTGGTTTATGTAAGAGACCACAGACATGTTGTCTGACCGGACAAGAACATGATGATCTCTGAGGTCTGGGAGAAAGTGTTTCAGAGCCTGAAACACCGCCATCATCTCTAGACAATTTATATGCCATCGGAGATGATGGTCTTGCCACAACCCGCGGGCCGAGCGACCACTCATGATCGCTCCCCAGCCCGTGAGAGAGGCATCCGTCGTCACCAATACCCGGCGACACGGGGCTCCCAGCGCAGGTCCCAGGGACAGGAACCAAGGTTCTTTCCACATAGCCAGGGCACGGAGACCACGTCGCGTGACCTTGATCTTGCGGAGCGGCTTTCCCCTCGGGGAGAACCCTTGGTCCTGAGCCACCACTGTAGTGGTCTCATGTACAGCAGGCCGCACGGTAACACGTTGGATGCTGCTGCCATCAGACCCAGAATCTCTGGAATTCCTTTACAGTGAGTGACTGGCCTAGCTTCACTTGCTTGACAGTCGAGATAATCGAGGCTATACAAGCCGGCGACAGACGTGCCTGCATCGTCGTCGAATCCCATACCACGCCTAGAAAAGTGGTCCGCTGAACTGGCGAAAGCACACTCTTCTTAGCGTTGAGTCTCAACCCCAACCTTCTGATGTGGGCGAGGACGGCATCTCGATGCCGAATCGCCTGATGCTCGATTGAGCCAGAATCAACCAATCGTCGATGTAATTTAAAATGCGAATGCCCTGGAGACGCAGCGGGCCAAGGCCGCGTCCATGCATTTCGTGAAGGTTCGAGGAGATAACGCTAGGCCGAATGGAAGGACCCGATATTGGTACGCTTCGCCCCAAAAAGCGAACCTCAGGAACTTCCGATGTTTGCGGAAGGATGGAGATATGGAAGTACGCGTCTTTTTTTTAGGTCTATCGTGACAAACCAGTCCTCGGACCTGATCTGTGACACGATCTGCTTGAGAGTCAGCATTTAGAACTTGAGCTTCCCTACTGACCGATTAAGAGGCGCAGGTCTAAAATCGGACGCAGCCGCCCATCCTTCTTTGGAACAATGAAGTACCGGCTGTAATACCCCAGCTCTCTGTCGGGAGGAAGAACTCGTTCTATCGCCCCCTTCAGTAGCAGAGCTTTCACTTCTTGTTCCATAACCAGAGCCTGCTCGGGGGTCACCACTGTGGGCAAAACCCCCCGGAAACGAGGTGGACGCGACCTGAACTGGATCGCGTACCCGCGTTGCCGTCTCCTTGGTGGCACGGAGAGAAATATCTGCCGCCTGACGCAGTATCTCATTAATCACGTCAGTGCCGACGACCTCCCCCTCACTCATATCTCCTAGACCCAGCAATATTAGCATACATAGAGGTCTGGTGTGTCAAAATTCTAGCTGACACTGGTTTGTTCCACGATCTACACACCTCGGTGTGTAGATCGGGGAAGAAGGGCAAACACCGGCATGGAGGTAGTGAGTGTGATATTAAAAATCTCTCATCCATTTTACTCTCTCGACTCTTGTTTCTCAACTGGCCATTCAATGGTTAATTTTTCCACAGCCCGAGTCAAAAACCTCCATTTTTTTTTTTTTTTCTTTTACTACATTAGCGGGAGACTGGGATGGCAAACGAGCTTCCCTCGCTCTCCACTGAGTCCATAGACTCTGCATCCACACTTTCAACATCCAGCTCCTCAGAACTGGATAATTGAAGTGATGGCGCCTCAGCCCGGGCAGGAAAACCGCAACGCGGACCCCCGCAGCGAGAACTGAGGCACTGGATCTACCAGGTAAGGGCAGAGAAAGGGCGGGGCCCGTCTCAATCCCGCTGATAGATCCATCTTGCGATCCCCACGACGCAAGCCTTCGCTGTGCCTCGGCAGCAGCGGGACCCGAGCCGCGGGGAGCGCGCACCGAACCACTCTCCTCGAAGAGTGCCCGGCGGGAGCGAAGTGTCTTCATGGGCAGACACTCGCAGTGCTCACAGCCGGCCCCCTCGAGAGCCGACTGAGCATGCTGCACTCCCAAACAAACAACACACAGATCGTGTGTATCCCCACCCGTGATGAAGCGAGGGCAGGATGAACACACTTTCTGAATTTGCTGTTGTTTGCTCGCCATATCAATATATATAAATATACAATATTAGACAGACAGAAAAAATTCATACATAGAGCGCTTGTGAAGACTCAGAAGCTGTTGCGCTTGTGTTTCGGGGATGCTTTATAGTTTCCTGGTCGATACGTCACCCCGCCTATGACG